GCCTGTAGCACTGCATGGGGTTGTTGTGGCCAAAGAGCAGGACCAGGCATTTGGCCTTGCTGAACCTCGTACTGTTGAATTTAGCCCATCTCTCCAGTCTGTCCAGGTCCCTCTGCAGAGCCCTCCTGCCTTCCAGCAGATCAACACTCCCTCCAACTTGGTGTCATCTGCAAATTTGCTAAGGGTACATGATCCCCTCATCCAGATCATCAATAAAGATATTAAACAGGACTAGGCCCAACACTAATCCCTGAGGGACATTGTGAAATACTTTTTTTGCTTGGATGTTGCTCTTTAAGCCTTTGCCAAGTTCCCTTTTAAACTTTGCCACTAAAAGTGTGTTATTTGACCTCCTGGGAAATGTGTGCAGTGTGTTCTCCTGTGTGCTCTCTCAAGATATTAAAGAACTGAAGGCCCTTTTAATAAATCTGGCAGGCAAATTTTTGGAGCCTTGTGTATTTTTTAAAGTAAAACCTCTTCAGTGAGCTCATAGCTTGAACCAAGGGTCTTACACATGTCCTGAGGAGGCATCAGGCAAAACATCGCCAGCGCGTCAAGGGAGGGGACTACCCCACTCTGCTCTGCGGTGGGGTGGCCTCACCTTGAATATTGTGTGCCGTTTGGGACATCACAATATAAGAAAGATATTAAGCTCTTTGATAGTGTCCAAAGGAGGAAAGGAAGATCACGAAGGGCCTTGAGGGGAAGCCGTATGAGGAGCAGCTGAGGTCACTTGGTCTGTTCAGCCTGGAGAAGAGGAGACTGAGTTGTGACTCACTGCAGTCACAACTTCCTCATGAGGGGAAGAGGAGAGGCAGACACTGATCTCTTCTCTGTGGTGACCAGTGACAGGACACAAGGGAATGGCCTGAAGTTGTGTCAGGGAAGGTTTAGATTGGATATTGGGAAAAGGTTCTTCACTCAAGGGTGGTTGGGCACTGGAACAGGCTCCCCTGGGAAGTGGTCACAGCACCGAGCCTGACAGAGTTCAAGAAGCATTTGGATGATACTCTAGGGCACATGGTATGATTCTTGGGGATAGTCCTGGGCAGGGCTAAGGGTTGGACTCCATGCTCCTTATGGGTCCCCTTCCACCTCGGCAGATTCTGTGATTCTGTGTAAACTGGAATTTAGAGTATTTCCTCAGCTATTCAATTTCATTCACTAGCAAAATACTCACATGTGCAGGTGTAACAGGAATCTTAACTACACTTCTGAGATGATAAGGATAACCTGCTCTAACTTCCTTAAACACTTCTGTCCCTTAATCTGTCACCCCAGTAATACCACACAGAGCTGCTTTGGTAGGATCAAGGATTAACAGTATCCAGCTTTGGGTAGACAAAGAAAATGCAAAAGAGAATCAATGAAACATTTTTCTTTTTGCTGAAATTGATAAAGACAGAAAATCCTGAGTATCATTATTGATCAAAAATCATTTCTCTGCTTTCCTACAGAATGTTAGCTTCCAGTTCTTCAATATTTCACGTTTTAATTGTGTTTAAACGAGATCTCACTATCTTTCCACTAATGCTGTAACTGAGGGTCTGGTGTCAGAAATCTATATATAAACAGCATGACATGAAGACTTCCTCTGCATATGAACTGCTTGCAGCAATCAGGCAGACTACTGTGTTTCTTTCCAAAGACAACTACAAAGCATCTTCTATAAATATACCCATGCATCTACCATAATAGAGTTACTCTAAATGCTGATATTCATTTGCTTAAGCCTCTGATATTTGGGTAGTAAGTAAAACCACCATCTTATCTTTACCTCAAAGAGAAAGACTGCAAGGCAATCTAAGGAAGATTGCACGGAAAAGCACAACAACTTGATAGTACTTATTCCTGTCGCATACAAATGACATTTTAAGGAATAGTAAGCAAAATGAAATGGGAAGGAATCCCAACAGAATTAGTATTTCATACAAGTTCTAAACAAATTGAGAATGTCAGAGGATAAAATGCCTACAGAAATCAAAATAGCAGTGGTAAGGTCAGTACATACATAATACAGTGATGGTTAAAAACTGTTGGGAACCCAAACCACTTGTGATCTACTTGTAAAACCAAAGACAAGTTAATTTACAAAACTGTACTCCGTCAACGGAAAACATGAATATCTGCACTCTACAAAGAGAGTTTCTGAATAATTGGAGGAAAAATTAAAGTAGCTGGGAATTTTCTTGTTCAGTAAGACTGCAATTACAGTGCATAGTATTTCTATGGTAAGATTCAGGTACTGATGAAGCATTTTTAACCAGAATTAAATAAAAGAATGAACCACAATTAAATCTGTTCCACCCATATAAGTTTTTGAACCTACAGATGCTTGAGAGGCATTAGGTAATCCTATGAAACACATTTGCCCAAAATTTAAAAATAAGCAGACACTCCACTGGAAATATGGTGAAATGTATGGTAAAAAGCAGCTTACTAGCTTCTTGGCAGAGGCCTGAATTTCCACAACAGAAAGAGTTTGACTCCAGTTATTTTGTTCCTTTTACAACAGAATATACCAATCTGAAACTATTTCTGAGTTAATACAACCAGGCAATGGTGAATTTACTTTCATATATATCCCACTTATTCTCTTTGGAAGATTAAAGATACTATATCAAGCCAATATTATTGAGCCAATACATAGAAAACTGAAAACTTAGCTACTCTCACTGGCAGAGAAGATACAAGATTAAATGTTAGTGCTTGTTTTAAGTAAAATGGCAGACTGACCTACTGCAATAGCCTTTCTATGGCTTTAGCACCAGTGAACAAAAAAAAATTCATGTACAGTAAAGAACTCTATTTAAAGGTTCCCTCACATTTCTACAAAACTAGTATTTGGGGCTCATTACAAAACCTGCTTTAGAGTTTACCAGAAGATCTCAAAGGAATCCAGACAGAAAATCACTCATTGCCCTTTTAACATCTAACCTGCACAACCTGGTATCTATGGGTAAGCAATATTTAAGGAATAAAGCCGGTGAGAGCCAAGTTAGACTAGCAAAACCATTTGCTAGCATTTATTGATGCAAAATACAGAGCAGTATTACTCTCTTCATATTTTACATGAAGAATTGCAGACTGGTGTATGAGATACAGATCTAGGAAGATCTGGTTGTCACACATTCTTTCCCAATTCTCTAAACTAACAAGATGATCTGACAGAATTTGAACCAGAACTGATCTCATAAATAAACATCAGTCTTTGTAGACAGAAGTCCTTATAAAAAGGTTGATTTTAGTTATATTCAATTAGGTATAACAAACTGCAATAAACCACTCAACCAGTGCTAGGCATATCATCACAGAGCTGTAACAATACCACTTTCCTATCCAAAATAAAAGAGACTGAAACACTTGCACATAGAAAAATGTTGAAGTGAATGTTATCAACAGCAAAACCAAAAAATCAGACACAGCTTCCTAGACGGGTAAAGCCATTCGTTGTTTCAAAGTAGTCATGTTCCCAAATTTTTACTACTGTATTCTTAATAGAAAAAAACGCCATTAATTCTAGATAGAGAAAGGTCAAGAATAACCAGTGAGGCATTAGATTTAGGAGAGGCTTCCCTTCAGGAAAATTACCAGCATCATTTGAAAACTAAAATCAAAGGGTTTCAATGAAGATAAGATTGAAGACTCCCACAAAACATCCCAAGGTTTTTTTCAGTTCCTTAGGCATATTTTTTTAAACAGCTGTACCTTCTAAAGAATTTGAGGGAGTTTAATGCAGTGAAGAATCCTGGCCGATACAAAATATACACATTCACTATATTCAGCTAGTGATGTTTAAGTAATAAGACAATTTCTGTCCCATTAACATTCTCTCCATCATCCTGCATTGACTCTTCTACATAATGGTTATTACAGATGGAACCAAAATGAACCAGAATAAACTAACATCAGCCCAACTTCTACACTACTATAAAAAGTGTCTCTGTATGAGAGCTATGAACACAGGAGACACACTGAGGAAGAAGAAATCAAAGCTCTGCATGCCAATAATAAAAAACTATGCCCAGCTCAGACATCCATAAAAGCAATATAATAACTGTCTCATAGAAAGAACAAGTGTTGGATAAATATTCTCACAAAATAAGTATTTGAAAGTCACCCTCTTCCCTCTCCCAAGGGAAACAAGGGCCAGAGAGAGAAGTTACCTGATCATACAGCAACTGCTAGGCAGTCAAAGGAAGCAAAGGCAATCATTAACATGAAGAGTTCTCAACATGAACATATCAGATTCTTATTTACTTGTGCATGTCAGGGAACAATTTAGCTTTTCTCAGTTTTACATAGAGAGCAGACCTTACTACTCTAGGTAAGATACAAACAAAAGGTCTGGGAAATGTGTAAAATATAAATTGCCATGACCATGGAAGTTTTAGCAATTAAGTCCAAAGCTAGCGCTAAGTCTAGAAGTGTTTTAGAAATCTGAGGATACCATGTGTTTCATGGCACAAAAATGCAGAAAAATCCTAGAGAAAAACTAAAACCACTTACAAACAGAATCATGTGTTTTCACTGCAGTGTAAGTAAGGGGTTGCTTCAGCATGAAATTTAATGCCAGAGGCGACCATATCTCACATCATTAGAGGAAAAACATCTGTGCAGCAGCATATCACGAGGTACAGCAATTTCTATTTGAAAATCTTCCTTGGATAGTCTTGCATAATGCGTGATCCACAGTTTTTCCATCAATGTTAAGCAACTATTTCTTCAATATATAAAAATGTCTGAAGCTGTCAGTATGTAACTAAGTCACCAAATTTCCTATTTTTAATTCGATGCAACTTTCACATTTGTTGACAAATACTTCATCCCATATATCAACCTAATTACACTTCCATCTCCCAACTCCGGGGGACCTTACCTGTTGTGAAAAATGTCAGTGTAGTCAGCGCATATAAAGTGATATTTCCCTGGAATGGTGTGCATGCAGTATTCCCTATGTATAGTTTTAATAAATACACATTTATAAAAATTCTACTTACACAGGGATGTTTTCAAAGGCATCTTCAAAGTTTTCCTGCAGAAGAATAAGAAAAATGTTTCAATCTAATATGCATGTTTTGTTACACAGCAGAAAGTTAACATTACCAGACAGCACTTAATTCTGTAACATACAGTAACAATCAGAATATTCACAATCTACTGACTCTTAAGCTTTCAGTGCAAATCATTACACAAATAGATTTCCTATAGGTCTACTACCTCAGACTACCATTAGTTAAATTAAACCAAAGACATCTTCAGACTCTGAAACTTTCACCATATACATCACAGAAGGCAATATAAATTTATGCCTCAGGAGTTTGTGCAGCACATCTGTTGCATTCAGGATGCATTAGTTGAACAGTATACCTACACATGAAAGAAAAAGTGTTCCATGCATGTAACTGATAATCAGGTTGATCAGAATATACATACTAGGTCCGGGATGCACACAGCTAGTGTGCATATATACAGCCAGCTCACACAATAATGGCAGTTATGTGAACAGCTTGGTCCAGACATCTGGAAGATGTTTCTTTCCACCTGGAATCAAAGCTCTTTCAACCTAAGTTCAAATTTCAAATTAAAATAAAGGAAGATACACAAATGTAAAGATGAGCAGAATGGCTCAGTTTGCAGGTCATGCATTTCTGTATCCAGTTTCCAAAACTGGTCTGTAGAAGTGTGTAGCAAAGACAAATGGGCAAAGAGCCCTCTTTCACACATCCATCTCTACTCCACACTTTTCAGCCTTTGGCAACTCAGAATTCCAGAGACAGTTTGGCCATCTGGTGATTCAGCAGATCTCTGTTCCAAGTACCAGTCCAGTATCCTCAATCCCATGTAGACTCCCTTTAATTCATGAGTTCATAACATTAGTAAGGAATTTCACAAGTCTGCTTTCCATTTTGTGCAAAATAATTGCACAAAATTATTTCTCCTTGAACCAGGTTCCTAACACCTTTGTTTAAAAATCCCTAGAACTGTATATTCAAAAGTAGTGAAGAATCAATTCATAGTTGCTCTTTCCTTGATACTTATGATTTTGAAGGCCTTTGTTATATCATTCAACTCATCTCTTCTCCAAGCCAAAGACTTCTGCCTTACTCCGTCACTCTTCAAACAGAAACTATTTCCTACTTATGACTGTGCTTTCTGCTCTTTCCGTAAGAAAAACTGGAAGCATGATGGAACACATTTTTAACATATTCCAGGAAGATACCTAGAAGAGACTGACCCCCACCTCACTATAACTTCTTTCCAGTTGTAGAGAGCCAGAAGATCTCTCCTGAGCCTTTTCTCCAGGCTAACCAATGTCAGCTCTCTCAGTCCTCCTCACAGGATTTGTGCTCCAGACCCTTCACCAGTTCTATTGCCCTTCTTTGGACACGCTCCAGCACCTCAATGTCTTTCTTGGAATGGGGAGCCTATACTAGAACACAGTATTTCAGACGTGGCCTCAGTAGTGCCAAGTAAAGGGAGAACTTAAAAGAACTTGGCAGCAGCCAATGAAATGATCCTCCTGATCTGCGGAGTACTGAGTTTCAAAAGCTGAACATCAACCAACAGGAACACCCTGAACAGAAACCCTTACCCTCTGTCTCACTCCAGACACTGATAGACATCACCAGTGTTCCAATAAAGTCCTTCTCTGAAGACTGGTTGCCTCCTTGAGCCACTTTTAGATAAGAGGACAAATTCAGTAAAATAAACAAAAAAACCAACACTTCTAGCTTTTTGAGCACACTTCCCTTTCTCCTAGGACAAAAAACTTGATAAGCAATAGTAAAGGTACTTTTAACTATCAGGTACTTAATAAAGAACAGTAACAAGCAGAAATTTACAGAAAAATGCAAAAATATCTGTGATGCGAACTCTTGCAGGCTCTTTCCAACCTTTGTACATGAGCAGCACCTATATACAAGAAGATATGGAGAGAGAATTTGCATTCTGTCTAAATAAGTACCTCCTCTGCCTGGTTTCCTCTGAATTTTGATCCTTGTTATTCACACTAGTCAAATGCATGTCTAAACATTTAGAATAATGAAGTGCAGCCTTGGTATTTTCCCCCGTGTACCAAGGCATAGGGAATAGTCACAGCCTCTCAGGAGATTCCTCAAGGGAGCTAAAGACATCACTGAAGGTGATTTCTATGATAAAAAAACCAAAGCCAAACAACAACCAAAAAACCTCCCCTCGAAAAACCAACCACACAAAACAAACAAACAAAAAAACCCCACCAACCAAACAAAAAACACCAAACAAAAAATCCAATCCATAGTCTTTTTCTGAAGTTTCCCATGCATTCCCATTCCCACTGCATGTAAAACAGGTATTAAAAAGCATTCAGTTTGATATCTTGGTCCTCTTTCTCCTGACTCACACAAGTCTACAGTTGAGTCTACAAACCGTGAGATTCCCTATAGAACAGAGGGAATACACGGAAAAGTTACAGAAGCACTAGAAGAGAAGCATAGCCATTTTCTACTCCATTCTATGCCCATTACAACAAAAGTTATAAAAAAACTGCAACTGAAGTAACTAGAACAGCTTCTCTCAGATGAAGTTCTAAGATTCATCATATTCCTACCAAGATAGAAAAGGTTTGAAAGGTACTCAGAACATATTCACTTGTTTCCAGTAGTCTGTTAAAATCTACCTGTAAATAAAATGCTTGATAAAAAAATTGAGTGAACTGTTCTATAACATACACAGCATCTTAAAAACCTCAAACTATATTTAATATACAAATGTATATAGGTATGCACATAATATATGCCAATCTAAAAAATAAAATCAAGTGATTGATAAAGTTTATCCATTCCTCAGAGTACAGAAGCAGCCCAAAAACACTTTCACATTCAGTTAAAGACTAATAAAGTTCCCATTTTCAAGTGTTCCCATTTTCATTCCAACAGTTCAGCTTCCTGCTGACAGCTGAAATGTCACAACTAGTTTCCAGAGGTGCTTGCTCATTTCAATCTATAGCAAAGCAGATTACTGAACTCAAAAACATTTTTACTTAGCAGGAATGATGGACTGCTTCCCTCAAGACTGAAGTTGCGTGCAACTACATCAGCTGTACATGTGACCTCCAGACTTTAGCAGGAACACCATTTCCCTTATCTACATGGCTGGAGAGACTGAGGCTGATGCAGTCCTTCACTTATTTCCTTCACTAGCCCAGGTCTGTCCTGCAGCAAGTCCCAAAAGTCCTGCTTTAGTATGTCCATGTTATAACAGAAGAAAATTTCAGCAAATATGAACTGCAGTTAAATCCACAAAAAGGACAATAAAGCCTTTTTTCAGACATTCTATTCAGAAAAAGAAACACATTAACATTTAAGTCAATACCAGGAGAAACAGTGTAACAACTATATGCCTCAATACAATGATGGCTAATGCTGCAAGCCACAGATTTTTATTGCACCTTTTCCAGAGTACACGTCAGTCCAACAATTTAAAACACATGAATGTAAGTAAACCTGCCACTAGATGGCATGACTCGGGCTCTTCCAGATTTCAGAAAATCATTGGCACAGGATTTAACAAAAAAAAGCTGTCTCAAAATGACGTTTCTTGAATCACAAAATTCTTTTTTTCTGCTTGATAACTGTAGTATTTCACAACTTTATGATGCATCCTTATCAAGATTCAAGCAGGCCTGAAAACAATTAAGTTTACAAAACTTAGAGATACTAACGTTTTGCAAAGCCAAGAAAGTCAAAGTCTGATAAACATTAATGGGCACAGTGTACTAATGTAGAAAAAGTGAAGAGTTCCTGTAATGTAGCAATGAGAGCAGAAACCATTCACAGCAGACCACAATTCAACCTTCTAGCCTCATGCAAAACAAGGACCTTTACCAATGTCTACACTTTTTGTTCTAATGCACTGGTAGAAAGTAGAAACAACAGCTTGCCTTGATTATTACAGAAATCCTAGTATCAAATGTGAGCTCTACTTTCTCCACATTTATAATAAATCATTTAACTCCAAAAATATTTCAGACTACATCCTGTGACTGCTAAATTGTTGCATAAAGTTTGCTGATTGTTTTATCAAGCTAACTGTTAAACACTGCTCTTTTCCAAGTGAAGCAGGAAAACTAATCTAAACTATTTCTTTAAAATACAGATTTATTACAAGATACAACTACCAAATAAGGTATTAAGCATCTAGATTCTCCCCGCTGATGACAACATAAATTCAGAAAACTCCAATAGTATCTAGAAACACCAGTCACAATTTGAAGTCCATACTGAATCACAGAATCTGTTGAGGCTTGGCGCTGCGACTACTTCCCAGGGGAGCCTGTTGCAGTGCCCAACCACCCCCTGGGTGAAGAACCTTTTCCCAATATCCAACCTAAACCTCGCCTGACACAGATTCAGGCTATTCCCTCAGTCCTGTCACTGGTCAGCATAGCAAAGAGATCAGTGTCTGCCTCACCCCCTCAGGAGGAAGTTGTGACTACAATGACATCTCCTCCCCTCAGTCTCCTCTTCTCCAGGCTGAACACACCAACTGCCCTCACCTGCTCCTCATACAGCTTTACCTCAAGGCCCTTCACCATCTTTGTTGCCCTCCTTTGGACACACTCTAATAGCCTAATATCTTTCTTATACTGTGGTGCCCAAAACTGCACATTAACCAAGGTGAGGCCACCCCAGTGCAGAGCAGAGCAGGACAATCCCCTCCCTCAACCAGCCGGTGATGCTTTGCCTGATGCCCCCCAGGACACAGATGGCCCTCCTGGCTGCCAGGGCACTGCTGACTCATATTCAACTTGCCATCAACCAACACCCCAGGTCCCTTTCCATGGCACTGCTTTCCAGCATCTCATTCCCCAGTCTGTATGAACACCCAATGTTGCCCCATCCCAGGTGCAAAATTTGGCACTTTCCTTTGTTGAACTTCATCTGGTTGGTGATTGCCCAGTCCTCTCATTTGTCGAGGTCTCTCTGCAGGGCCTCCCTGCCTTTGAGGGAGTCAACAGCTCCTTGTAGTTTTGTATCATCTGCAAACTTGCTT